ATCAGCCAGACGGTGATGCTTCTGGCATGCGTGCTCTTAGCTGGGCATCCGGGAACCGGAAGTCGAATTCTGTCTCAGCTTGGAAGACCCTGCTGCAGTGATAACCTGCACTTCGCAGTTCGACAGGAGGACTTGCAGGAGGTCCCAAAGACATGCCGCCTATCCCCGGAGGTAACAATTGGCGGCGTAGCAGGAGTTCCCAAAGCCTCGCCGCTTCTCCCTGGAGCTAGTAATTAGGCATCCTGGAGGAGCCTAACACCTTCCAAGCGCTAGGCTCTGAGTCCGCCTATTGTTCCGCCCATTGTCTGTCCAGTCTGAGCAGAGCCAGGAAACGGATGTGCGAAGTCAAGTGCAAGAAAAAGAGAAGGTGAAAGATAATTTCTCGTAATTCTCTAGATGTGTCCTCGGGGAGATCCTCTTACCTCCTTGACTGAACATAATTATGCAGGTTAATATGTCATATGCTCATAATATCACAGCGTACTAAGACTGTTTGATATTATCTAATCGCTGAACTTACCCAGTATCGTTCGTACCAGGCTGAGTACTGGATTTGATGAATATAGCATGGAATCCGAACTCTTAAGCAAAAGCTACGATATGCTTGGTAAATAGTGCAAGCTATGTTCATTATTTGCAACAGACTCCGACCCTTAGCTTTTACAGAAATACATCTTGAGAAAAGTTTAAATAATTTTCCAGCTCTTTCTAACCCTAATGCTAATTCGCAACTTCGCTAATGCTACCTTTCTTGAAATGGTGACCATAAATACGATATAAAGATGTTGAACAATTTCCTGCAACTTTTTCAGATCCATAGACTTCCATGAAACAGTTATCCAAAGCCGCTACGATTTTTATCCTGATTTGAAACTTTGGCTTCAATACGTTCAATATTATTTGCGAGATGTACAATTCCACGCCCAATTACCATCTAATTTTATTGAACATATGATATCTTAAAGAAGCATAATGCCAGTTTTATCTTCTTCACTCTTTTTGTTTGTCTTGAGTTCGCACATCCGTCTCCTAACCATGCACAGACCAATCTGCGGGCAGACAATGTTCGGAGTCAGAGCCTAGCGCTTGAAAAGTGTGAGATTCCCCCAGGACGCCTAATCACTTGATTCGGGAGAAGAGGCGAGGCTTTGGGAACTCCTGCGCGCCCTCCGTAACAATTAAAGGTGCGAGCCACCTCCGTTGTATCTGACAACTTCCCAAATTGGGTTATATCAATCTGCACCATAATCACAACAACGATTAAGTATGGAAGTTGAAGTGACCAAAAAATGAGAAAGAAACAAGTGGAAAACTAGACAGAAATTTGCTTCATAAAATTTCACACTGTTGCTATGAGAAGTTCAAATGTAAAAATATGGAAATACAGTATGAAATCGCCGTTTTATGTTGAAATTTCGAACAATTACAGGATATTATTCAATAAAATGAAGGAAAACGCAAGTGAATTGTGGAGTATTAGTTTATATGGCTTGTAGAAGCCTGAGATGATGCTTCACAATAACATCAGAAATC